TACGGGTTCTCAAAATTGATTTATCGAAGCGTTTTCACAGGTGTGTGGGCAAGTTACTGGTTCTTAATAAATACGGGATTATATAGACGCGACTTATACAGGAGGGTCGAACGAGGGGTAGGGACAAACTGCTGGTTCTTAAAAGGAATTACCGACACGACTTTACCAGGAAAAAGTAGTCAATAGCTGCACGCTGCTGGTGATAATGCCTTAATGACTCTAGCAATAACACTTGTATTATACAGAAGGTGGTGCCATGGGGGGGGGGGGGGGGGGGGGTGCATCCAAAATGCCAAGCACTGGATACACATAAACACATAACCACCTGTGTGACAACTTAGTTCCACAATGAATTTTGATTTTTAACAGAGGCAAAGACATCCATGAATTGACAACTTTATAAAAACAATGGCTGAAATGTTTAGGGGTTAATATGACAAGTCTGAAGACCGCTTTCTGTCCCATGTTATGCTCCATTTTAGATTTTCACGGTCTCAGATCATGCCGTCTATCACCCCATTTCCATAGATTAGATTGACCTACTTTAGATCGACCTAACTCCCTGGGGGTTCACGCTAAATAGCTGTCAGCCGGGAGGACACGAAAGTTAATTATCCCCTTACAGCTTGTAGTAGGCGGGACGGACATTTAAGTTGGATTATCTGAAAGTAATCTAGTGAGACTCCCCGCAGGGATAGATTGATCTAAAATCTATGGGAATAGAGCCTAATACAGGAGGAACATTCTGGACAGACAGTATTAATGCTTACAATGGCACATTAATTATATCTTTTAACGTTATTAAATAATTAACTCTTCTCAAAGATGTGCAATATTATTCCATCCACCTTTTATTCATGATATTTGCAAAAAACAAAAAAACAAAAAATAAAAAAATAGAAATAAAAAAATAAATATCACAGTCAATATATCATATGTATGCAACGTTTTACTTAAAACAAAAAGAAACAATTAAAAAAATAATTATTATAACAGCACAGTCTTTTCTGGAAATGTCTTTGTATTATGAAAAGATAAAAAAAGACAAAAAAAAAATCCATCCCAATCCGATCATCCTGCCAAGATGGCTGCCACAGCTTCAATAGACCCAGTGTCTTCCAGAAGTTCTTCAAGATAGCTCCTTTCATGATTAGGAAACAGAGCCCATAGTTGGTCAAGTTCAGAGCTTTCTTCATGACAGTCATTATAATAACCAGCAGCCTCATCTTCATAGTCTTCTTCATGGTACAAGTTTTCCTCAATAGATGGAGCCACAGTATCATTATTGCCACTGCCATGGTGTGCATGAGGGGATGAATGTAAGGTTGCAGCATTTAAAGATTCAGTGACTGATTTTATTGAACTTTTGGGTTTTGACTTTGGTCGAGTTTCTGGTGGTGCCTTTTGCTGCATTTTCTCTCTCTGTGGTTCTGGCTGCTGAGTTTGTTGCTGAGCCTCAAATTTCTTCTCAAAAAATGCTAAATTATGTCTAAAATTAAAAATAGTGAAAATATATATATAGATTTAGCAATTTCGATATAGTTCTGGCATAAAATATCCTTCTTGGATGCATAAACTATAAAAATTGGATTTTCAGTTCCTTTTTCATTATTTTTCTTTTGCTGTCACTATCTTCAAAACATTTTCAGCAACAAAAAAATTTTCTATTTTTTTGTAAAAAAAAAAAAAAACAATGTTTGTGATACTTGGCACTGTTTACACATCTATGGTCTATGATCAACCTTCCATAACTGCTCTAGTATTACTTATAATAACATAACATCTACTGATTTTGTCCTGATACTTTGCAGTGTCTACCAATCAGTAACCTAGCCCATGTTATAATGAATCAGTAACCTAATCAATGTTGTAAAGATCCCCTTACCTTCTATGTTCCTCTCTCAGCCCCTTTCCCCTCTCAGCATCTTTCCTCTCCTTCTCTTCAGCCTAAAAATAACAATAATCAATGTCAAAAATAGGTTATGGTTGGTTATTATGGACTGGTATCCTGAAATAACACTTGTACATGTGTATAGGTTAAGGTAAAATTTCACCGACACAAGCATGACTTATGTAAACCAGTTCATTTTTCAAAGTAACACTGTGCAATGATGTCAGTGGTAGTTTAACAAACATTTTGAACATGCAGTGAAAACACAGTATTGCTTTAGTTGAGCAAATGGCTTATAACTGAATTGTGACTGGTTGTGACTCACCTTCCTCCTCTGTTCAGTTTTCTTCTTTTCAAACTCAGCTTCTTCTCTCTGTCTTTTCTCATCTCTCCATTGCTGACTCTTTTGCTACGTGATTTTCATTAAACAAAAGTTTTCCAATTATTTTGTATAAACATGATCTTTGGGTTTAAATTTCCACATGTTAAGGCAAATAATTAGTTTCACATCATTTATCTCATTTCACAGTCATTTTTCATTTATTATAATCCCATTATTTTCACAATCTGTTTAAAAAAAAAACTTTGTTTCAATTGACATTAAGCATTATAATCAAACATTTGCTCTTACCAAACGGTTATACTTTGCCTGACGTTGTTGTGTTTGTGCTTTCTTTCTAACCTCATCTTCACTTACTGAACCCCCTCCTAGAATAATATGATATTAAATATAAAATAATTAAGTGATTCTGAACTACTGGCTTTAAGGTATTCTGAAAATTTGTTCTGTAAAACTATTGTTATATAATTATATCATTATCATACTAACTAGCGTAGATTTAAAAGAACTAGCCTGGAGTTAAAAATCTATAGAAAATGGAAAAATACAAATAAAATTTACCAAGTAGTGTGACCCTTTCACAACTCTTTTTCAGTGAACACAAAGTAATAAATTGCAACTGGAAGTTGCAGTTGTTTTGATCGTTTCCATACACTCACAAACCTCAAAGCAATAGATGATAAATGACAGACAAAGAGAGAGCATTTGGGAGACTAATGAGACCACCTTGCATCCATAGGCCAAGTTGAGGTAAGACAAGGTAAAAAATCTCTCATTTTTTTGACAAGTACACCTCTTAATCTTTAGGCTCTTACTGGTCATTAATATAGCAGAGGGAGACTGTGACTGAAATGGATTCCCCCTTACCTACTGTTCCAACATAAGACACATAAGTTGGTTTTGACTGTTGTTTGTGCTTCTCATAAGCTTCTGTTTCCTTGGCAGCCTCTATCAATAAAAAAAGTCATAGAATACTGATTTACAATGCACTGCAAGTATCTTAACTCTTACACAAAGAGAAATAATTTATTTGGTGTTCCATGATTTAGGTTTCAGTCGGTTTTTGTTTGTGTTTGGAGTGACAGCATGCATGGTTAAATCTGCATATATAAAAATGACTTTGACGTGTGCAAAAGGACCACTTGGACCACGTGGCAGTCAAGTACATTAAAGAACTTACAAAAAACATGTACCAGTACCACAGACACAGAACTTACGTTTTGTTACTTCCTGTCTCTTCTTCTCATTAGGAGATATCACGGAGTAACCACCGCGACTGTAATGAGAGAAGTATAACAGAAAGGGTGCAGCAGAAGTAGAGGAGTACCGGTAGAATATTATCAGTGTGGAGGGTGACCATGTAGAAAAGCATTTATATTGGGAATATCATAACTTTGGTGGAGTAATGATGTACTGAGTACAGAAGTTACAATTAATATTAGGGGAATAACAATGCAGGACATAATTAGGGGAATAACAATGCATGACCCAATCCAGACAGCTATACTTGTACGTACTAGTACTAATAGTCCTCCTGACATTTCAGAAGAAAATACTTACAGTAAACATCATGCACTTTCATTTGAGGAGTTTTATCAATTTTAGGTCTTTATTGAAAAATGTAAGTAATTGTACAGGATATTTAGACATGGACATATGACCTTTGGACAGTGTGCATTTCTTTATATTTAAGTTTATCCAGTTCAACAACGAGAAAGTTAATTGTTCAATACTTTGGAACTTTTACAAAGGTATCAAAACCAATTGAAAACAGAGTCATTATTTTATATTTATCATGTTTTTTTACTGAAAAATTAACCCTGTCTGTTACTCACTGTTCAACTTTTTGTTCCAGATCCTGCGGTTGCTGTTCTTGTTGTTCGTCCATTTTCGGTTTCGGTTCTCTGGAATTTTTTGGTGGCATTTGACCTCTTCCAACCCCCCTCCCCCTCCCCCTTCCCCTAGCTGCTGGATTTGTGGGGCGAGTACCGGTAGTGGACGCCCTATTTGTGAAAGTCTTGCTCATTGTGAATTAAAACAGTTATTTCTTTATAATAAAACGCCTTCTGGATGCCAAATTGAAGAGTTTCCTGTTCTGTTTGCCGGCTTGCACAATTTACTGTGGTTAGCATGTAACTCTGAAAACTGAAGTGGAAACTCAATGTGGATATTTATTTACATTTGTTTGTACGTGTTTAGGTTTTTCTGTAAACGAGGCTTTACCGGGGAGTAAGATCTAATGTTTACAAGTTCAAGGTCAACTTGGTACAAAGCTATCATTTAGCTATAAACTTAATTGTGAGCATATGTTTTCTTAATTGTTATAAAGCTTTACGTTTTATTTGATGCTATCAACCACGTGTAAAATTATTTTAGCTCGATTTAATTCGATGATAATGTTTCATGGCACAGATATAAGAATAATTTTGCCGTTTATTTTTTTCGAAAGCAAGGCTCTAGGTAAAAAACTGACTCTGAGTTGGTTTGATTAAAAGTATCAAGATGGCGGCAGCTGTCGCTGCATCCAGTGATTTTCATTCAGACCCAAATTTTGCAGTCATTTGCTCTTTTCTTAATCGCTATGGTGAATTGCTGAATTTACCTCATGTATCATTCGCAGATCTGCAGCGGGATCTGGAAGAAACTAGGACGGGTAAGGAAAAACATGCAATGTAAACAAGGGATTTAGCTTGACCTCGTTTTCTAACGTGGGGTTGACACAAAGGATTTTAACAAATAATGACTCCAATCTTCGATCGCAAATGTTTTACAAAACACACGTTCAGTGACATCCATTTATTTGTATAGACTTCTTCTCGATATAAACATTTCGTGTATTTTTGGTGCATTTCTTTTATTATTGCCGCCCGATTTCCCTAATATTAATGGTGAATGGTGCACCTCGAATTTAAGTGTAAATCGTTCACTGTGTTTAGCATTACATCGTTCAAAATTTGATTCCATTGAAAGTCATACGAATTAGTGTTTTAAAACTCAACTATTGCATTCCAAGGAGGCACCCATACAGAAATCACTCTAGCGTTAAAGAAGAGTGTAGTAGCATGTGAAATTTGAAACCACTCATTTGACTCTGCCTAGTTCATAGTGTTTGTATATAACAGCAGAACTTAAGTGCAATTTTTGTGAGTGCAAATTGGTTTGTTTGTGTGTGTGTGCATGTGCGTGCACATGTGTTTATATGATTGTACATGTGTGTGTGTGTTGGACCTCTTGGTTTGTTATGAGATGTCACCCCCCCCCCCCCCCCCCGGGTTCTATGGCCCCCCTCTCCCCATTACTGAGTTATCGAACCCCAGGTTTCACACTTTGTTTATATTATACCTTTTATATTTACCTGTTCCCTTTGCAGTCCCCACCAGATTAATGGACCTGATCTTCCCCCTGCTGAGGAAGATAGAGAAGAGCATGCAGAAAAATAAATGGGAGAAAAAATTGGCAAAGGTAAATAGAAAACCAACTGTAAAAGTTAATTACGTTTTACTGACTACATGACAGCCAAGGGAGTTGAAAATTTTAACCCAAGTAATGCTGGTAGCTAGGAAATGATCTTGTCAGAAATTTTCATGTATAAACTTCATTCCTTTAAACTATTTTAAAGAAATTGATTCATTTAATGTTTAAATAAATGAATTCTTCTTTTATGTTATTGAACTAATATAAGAAACAGATTGATATATTTTTTTAATCGTAAAAAATATTAATGTTTTTTATGCCATAAAGTGTTCAGTTACTTTTATCACTCTTTTGTAGTACAATCCAACTTTTAGTTGCAGACATAAATAGATAAATGAATTATTATTATTATTATTATTATTATTATTATTATTATTACGGTATGCAGTTCTCACAATTTTACATCAAACTCTGTGGTTACTCAGTGGCCATTATAAATGAAGATGATCTGATTATTTTTAATTTTAAAAAATTGATAAAATACAATAATTTTTGTATTGGTTTATTTCAGTTTTGTTACTCATACTCAGAGGTTGATGGCTGGGAGGTGGACCAGTCTGGATTCAGAAAATGCAAAGTTGAAACCAAAGTCAGAATACTGAAGGCAAGTAATTGATTTGAAACTATACTGCATTTTAAGAAAAGTGTGTGTGCGTGTGTGAGAAAGAGAGAGAGAGAGAGAGATAGTGTCACAATTTTCTTTATTTTATTTTTTTATATACATCATGTTAATCATACTGTAAATATAAGAAAGAATAAGTTTTAAAAAAAACTCAGTTTTGTTATATAAAAAATAATTACAGAATCTGATGGAGTCTCAGTTTGACAAGCATGTGAAGTTCAAGGAGAAGGTGAATGCCATGCAAACCCAAGAACTGAGGGATCTTCCCACTGGCAAGGACAGGAATGGGAAGGCATACTGGTACCTCCTGGTAAGTTACAAGGATGAGATTTTTCCGACTGTCGGCAGATTTCCAACATACGGCATACTGGTAGCTCCTGGTAAGTTACAAGGATGAGATTTTTTCCGACTGTCGGCAGATTTCCAACATACGGCATACTGGTACCTCCTGGTAAGTTACAAGGATGAGATTTTTCCGACTGTCGGCAGATTTCCAACATACGGCATACTGGTACCTCCTGGTAAGTTACAAGGATGAGATTTTTCCGACTGTCGGCAGATTTCCAGATTTCTTTATGGGAGCCAAAAAATATCATAAGCCTAAGCCACCCCCTGGACTCCACGCCATATTTTTTGACTTTCTCACTAAATGGCAGTCTCATCCCTGAAGTGATCATTTATAAGAGAGAGAGAGAGAGAGAGAGAAAGAGAGAGAAAGAGATTGGCATGTTGAACTTTTGCCAAATTTGAATTTATTTCATCACTTTTATATCAAATTCCTCTTCTGTAGGACAAAGATCTCAACCTGCGCCTGTTTCAAGAAGACCCTGACCTTGAATCATCATGGAGACTTGTGTGTCAGAGCAAAGAGGACCTTGAGAGTCTTATAACGAGGCTTGCCGAGGCTGCAGAAAAACCTGGGGAAATGGAAAGCGAAAGTAGATCTACGACTCCGAGCGTTGAAAGCCCTGGTCAGTGTCATAGTAAAGTTATAGACAAAGATGTGTGGCTGATAACAAAACATTAATTGAGACTCATTTTTGTGATAACTTTAATGATAGAAGAAGAGGGTGAAGTGAAGTGAAACTGCACCAATGATTTTCAGTATCAAAACCACATGTAAAGACTTTTAAAAAGGGCCACCAAACAGGTTTAAACAGCCAAAGAATTGACTGATCCCGACATGAATTTCATCTTAAAATTACACCAGTTCCTCTTATGGATCTTTTCTCTACCTGATAGGATTTAGACTCTGTTGATTCCCAAGCCGCAGTTATTTAAGTTTTAACCAAGTTTTAATATTTAATATTTAACCAATATTTCTAAATTAGTTTGCCAGCATTTGTTTCAATTTTTCATTTTCTGTCTTTTCTTGAAGCTGAAATCAAAACTGAAGAAGCAGATATGGAAGTAAATCAAGACAGGGCTGATGAAGATGAAGAGATGGAAGACCAGGATGGAGACCAGGAAGTACACGAGGATGTTCACCAGGATGTTCACCTGGATGTGGAAAGGAAAGAAGTGTGTTCAAGTCAGGTGGAGGGGATAAAAGACATAAAGGTGAAAAAAGACGAAGAAAGTGGTGCTGAAAAGGAGTTCACAGTGAAAGTTACAGAAGAGAAGAAGGAAGAAGATCTCAGTGCAGTCAAAGGTGAAAAGACTGTCAAAGTTAAAGAAGAAAAAGATTTGTCTGTAAAAGAAGAAACAATTGAAATGAAGGAAGAAGGAGAAGGTGACAAAAGTTTGTTGTCATTAAAAGAAGAAAAAGGTGAAGTGAAATTAGAGAAGGAAAAAGAACTGGATGCAAAAGAAAAAGTAAATGAGGTAAATATAGAGGAAGAGAACAGTAAAAATTTAAAATCCACGAAAGACGATAAAACTGATGTGAAAAAGGAGGACAACAAAAATCTAGTTTCTGTGAAACAAGAAAAGACGGAGGAAGAAGTTGAAGAAGAGGGAAGAGATGATACACCTTCTGATGGAGAAAAAGTTGAAGTTGCCGATGATAAAGAAACTAAAGAGGACTCCTCTGCTGAAACACAAAACATAGCACAAACTGTTGAACAAAAGAGTGATGCAAACAAAGAAACAAATGTAGATAAAAATGTTGAAAGATCTCTGCCTGCTACTCAAGAAAGAAGGGACCAGACGTCAGAGACGGACAAAAATTTAGTGACAGATATTTCAGAAAAAGAGGAATGCAGTGAGAAAGCTGATTCAGATGTCAGTAAAGAAATAGTTGATGAACCTGAAAATACAATGTCTCTGGATCCTAAAGACACGAATAAAGACTCCAATCAGGCAACAGAGGACAAAGAAAATACAGAAAACAACAGATCTGTCTCTACTAATTCAGAAATAGAAAAAGATGCTATCTCTTTGGAAAAAGAAGTTGAAAAGAATGTAGAGAAAGACATTTCTGTACAGGATGCTGAAGAAAATGGAGACCAACCAAAAGAGACTGACGAAGTTCAAGACGATTCGTCCAAACCAAAATCTCCTGTCAAAAGAGGCAGGAAAGCAAAAAGAAAAGGTCGAGGAAGGCCCAAGGGGAAAAGTAAAAGCAAAAGCAGATCTAAATCTCCTAGTCAGACTGAGAAAAATGCCAATAATTTGACTGAGAATGCTAACAATGGAAGTAAAGAGAAGGGAGATGATGAAGAGAGTACGCCAGCAAAAGCCAAGGGGAAAAAAGGGAGAAAGAAGAAAGAACAGAAAGATGGTGATGAAAGCGATGATAATATTCCTTTGTCCCAGGTAGGGTTTTTTTTTTTTTTCAAATAGTTTGGCACATTGTCAAAGAAAATATACTTAATTTGATATGACATGCTGTGCTGGTTTGAATTTTTTTAAAGAAAATTTTTCTTGACCTTTATTACATCAGATTAAGCCCCCATGATGTACTCCCCACATTTTGTAATAAAAAAGCAATTTTTATATTTCAGAATTTTAACAGAAATGATGAATTTGGAGAAAGACCATGAAATATGTTGTATTATTTTGCCAAATATGTATATGTTAAAGATTTGGGTAAAATTAAGTATGCCAACATTAGTAAGTGTAAGGTATTACATAGCTTGTACACATTTACAGTAATTGCACAAAGTATTTAAGCAATATCAATAAATTGCACCCCCCCTTCCCCCCAGTGTTGTCAGTAATAGTGATAAAAAGTTGAATCAAAGGTTTGGTTTTTAAAAGTGCTAGACTTGCGTGTTAGTCAAGTTTTGAAAATGATCAATCTTGAAATAGAAAATTCATTTAAAATGTGAGGAGCTTTAAATTTTTACATAATTATTCTACATGTAGGTCAGAAGGTCGGCCAGAATTACCAAAATCACCCTAAAGAAGGAGAAGGAGATGGAAGAAAGGAAGAAAATGGAGAGGGAGATCAAAGAAGCTGATGAAAGAGAAAAGGAAAAGAAGAGAAAGGCAATGATGGTAAGAGTGAATAAAACTAAAAATTAAAATTGATCAAAGGGGAAATGTATCTGGACTCGTTCTAAAGTCTGTTCAATTGAATTTTTACCAAACCTGGGCCTTCAACATTTGCAACATGTCTTATCTTATGGTATGATATTTCATAGTTTATTTATACCACCTCCACTTGTGATATATGTGCAAATGTATCAAGTCTTTGATAATGGAAAAAGTATGAATTATTTCTTTAGGTTCCAATTTCCTGTGAAGGCCTTTTCAATTGGTATTGAAAATTTTGTTGACATCTATTAGATTCAGATATTAACGGGTAACTTGTTGAATTAAATTTATAAAATCATTAGCTAAGTAATTCTATACTTTTATTAAGATTTTTATGAATTTTCATTTTGAAAAATATTAGGAAGCTAAAGACAGTGATGAGGAAAATGTGTGGCTCAAAAAGAAGTCCAAGGGAAAGAACAAAAAAGGGGTAAGAATATGGAAAAATGAATGTAAAGGAATACACATTTAGCTTTTATGTCTGTCTTTCGGTTAGGCTTAAATAATGTCCCCATGCTCTTCGGTGCTTTGCTGATGTTTTATTTTTTCATCTTATTTGAATAGTAAGGATTGTCTTCTAATTAATAGGAGTGCCCACATATGGTGTCCAGGTAATACAGAAACATAAAGAATCATTGACAGATGAAAAATTAATAGGAAATTTATTTCAAATGATATTCATTTCTATGTTAGCTGTTTCTTTAGTATTAGAGTATTCAAAAATGAATTTGATGTTTCTTTTTTTGCAGTATGTTTCTCATTTTTTACTCGGTTTTAATGTAAATTTTAAAGATCACACACTAAGTATAAAATAATGACAACAATGGACTATCTACTTTCAGAATAAGAAATCCAAGGGTCACCATGCTGAATATGACACCAGCGATGATGAGTGGTTGGACAGTTACTTCGAGCAGCTTGACAGGCAACACGACCCATCCAGTGATGAGGAACTCAAGTTTGACCAGTCAGATCATGAGTTCTCCATGGACGAGACGGACGATGAGAATTATGTCCCGCATGGAAGGAATGCCAGAAGGGCTGCAGCTAGGAGAAGTAAGTGTGTGTACATTTGTGTGTGTGTGTGTGTGTGTGTGTGTGTGTGTGTGTGTGTGTGTACATGTAGATGTGTGGGTGTTTGAGTGGGTTTATGTGTATGTGAAAGAGAAAATAAGAGCAGTTGTTAAA